GCCCCCGTATTCCGACACCAAGGACGATTCCACCATTGGTTTTTCCAGTTGCAGTGCTATTTAAGGTTCATCATGCTCACTGTAATCACCTTCGTTGTTTCTTTGGACTGTGGTAGCTCTTGCTTACAATGGTCAGCATCGTGTCTGTATCTCCCACACCTGAAGCATATTAGATGTAAACCCTCATACTCTACTTTTTTTCTCCCTCCCATTGAAGCATATGGTCGGCACAAGAGGTTTTTGGAGGTCCAAGAATATACATAGTCTAGCAAATCGGCCTTTAGCTCTATTTGTAGTTTTCCTATCTACCTCTAGGACTTTTCCAATCTAGTTTCCCACCACATGAAAAATACCTATTTCGTAGTAATCCATCGATAGCTTTGAGATTCGAACCCAAACCACAGCACTGGTTATCTTTTCCTCATCAAGATCAAAATTAGGTTTCCATGGTTGCACACTAATGTAGTGATCAAAAATCAGCCACGGCCCACCAGTTAAAGCATAATCATATATCTCCTTATTTCTGCAGTTCACAACAAAGAAGCCTGAACCTACGTCAATTATTTCTACGTCACCCCATAACTGATTCAGTTTCTGGTCGAGAACATCCTCTCTCACCATACGACCTAACACTGAGACAATTCGTGTCTTCCTCCAGCATTTAGCAAGTTTCTTTCTATAATATGGAAGCAAAATAATATTGGGCCCTTTCAGAGTTTGTTCCACCACGACACGTGATTTCCACCCTTCGTCTCGCCACCACTCTTCAGTTTCCTCCTCATCATCCTCCGAGTCTGCCTGCACCATGCATGCCTATTTATATGACATGGTCTTTGGCATCTCCTTTCTCCGTGGCATCTCAGTCTCCCCACCCGACTCCTTCGTCATAGTTACCATCCAGTCCTCCTCACGTGGTACCATCGGCCTTCCAACGACCACAACTCCTTCCCCTATCCTGCCTTTCTTCTTGTTCTAAAGCACATCCTCCTCCACACCCATGGAGCTCCCCATCAGTCCATCAACGCTCCTCAATCCATCTAGCTTCATGTTAGGTTCTTGCTCGCAGGCCTCCAAGAACCGTCCCTGCAGACCCCTCTCCCGACTTCGCTCCCACTCTCTTCCAAGTTCAGGAGGCTCCAGTGACGGCACCGTAGGCCCTCGCTCTCGACCCCTCTCGCGCTCTCGCGCTCTCGACTCCTCTCTCTCTCTCTCTCTCTCTCATATCGACTGCTCTAATTTCTAACTAGTTAGTAACTATATAAGCTCAATAACAATTTTTTTCTAAGGTGAGTTTTGCAATACTGGTTTTTTTATTGAGTATTCTAACATGAACATATATAGTCAGATGAAATTAAAATTGTTAGTGAATCATAGTTGATTTGAGGAATCCTTTGACATTAGTATGTACGAAAGTGCAAAAATCCAATGGTCTAGTTCAGTCCAATCCAAATAAGTCATATAATGAAATCAAACTAGATCGGACCAAAGTGATTGGTTGGACTATATTGGGTTCTAAACCAAGCAATTAGACCACTTAATCAGATCTGACTTAGTCCAGGTGATTTTTTTTTAGTATTTCGCAATTTGAATTTTTTTATTGCTGTTTAATATTGTTAGAGATTCTTATAAATTTATAATCAAGTTTCAATGTTTCGGCTAACCTGACGCAGGTAGTCTTATAAACCAAGTTCAATCCAACCTAACTTCAAGTTCTATCAAACCAAACTATGGGTCCGTCCAGGCAAAAACAGAGTAGATTTCTACTTGGGTTTTAGTCCGCTTTGGTCAATTGTCTAACCATATTAGTGTGGTTGCTAATTTTGATACAGAATACACGCGGTTGCAGGGTACTTTGTGGTGTTTGTCGCAAAAACGGAAATTTGTGTTTGTCGCAAAAACGGAAATTTCAGACTTCATACCAACTTTCTTGTGATGATAGTGTCTTCAAGTTTATCCATCAAGTTTTTTTTTAAAAAAATTTCAAATTATTTATTGATACCCTTTAAATTTTTAAAAAGATATAAAATAAGCTCTTGAATTAAATTACCATTTATACAATGTTCAGGTCATTTTATTCATTTTTTAATTGAAATGTCATCATTATGAAATATTAAAATATATCACGCATTTTGAATTCAAAACAATTGCCAAAGCGGGTTTGAGGACGTACAGAACATTGTCTTAGGCAACCTTGGGTGGCCCAAGTCACTTTTTTGTTTTTTTTTTTTGTCTTCCCTTTTAAGCATAGGTATTTTCTTATTAGATAGCAATTCTATTTGAGGTACTACTAAACACTAAATATGGGTATGTTTTCTACCAGAAATTCAAACATTGGTCTGAGCATGTTGTAACTAGACTCTTTTGCTAGTAGAGCTAGGGTTGAGTTGGCCAGTTTAGGTCCAAAAATGAGGAACAGGTTTGAAATTTTTTGCTTTGAATGGGAAACGAGCTTAAAAAGGCTAGTTTTGTAGGACCAATGCGTAAATGAGTTGGCTAGTTTAGGCTCTTTTATAATTTTTTAAAAAATTTTATGTAATTTTATGTAATGCTAATAATATTTATTTTTTACATTTCTAATGGTATTTCAAATATTTAGTTATTATCATTATTTTGAAATTAAATTTCATAAGATGGTTTGATTTATTTGATTTTGGACAATGATTTGTTCAATTACATTTTTTTAAAAATGAATTAATTTGAACTTGAATAACGATTTAATTTATATTATATGTGTTGATATTTTTAAACTATATATATTTGATAAGAGAGTATTTTTATACTTCTATAACTTGTGATTCTATAATTTGAATTAGAAAGTTATGAATTTTAACAATAATGTATCTCAAACTAAAAATAATAGCTAGATCACAAAATTCAAAAGTGAAATTTTTATAAAGGAGAAAAACTTGATATTTTTGCGATTAAAGAAGACCAATTAATGATAATGATAATGAGGTTTCAAAAAATTAATGATAGTGTTTGTCTATTGTATATCTGTAGTGTTGATGAAACTTTTGAATGTTATGCTCTGTTGATGAATGTTTTATATGTTCTTAAATGTTGATAGATATTTAGATATAATGATGTGTTTGTGAATTAATTTTATTTATATTTTCACTTTTTATTAGTAATTTCATTGCTTTGTTTTTTAATTAAAACATGTGAAAAATATTAAAAAAAAATTTCTTAAATGGGATGAAAGTCTACTTATTTTTTTATTAAAAAAATATGAATAATATAAAAAAAAAATTAGATAGGACAAAAGTCTTCAGACTGCTTCTGAACCTGTCATCTTACAAGCTAGGTCTAATAAAATAGGACATTTCTGAAATTCTAACCTTTCAAGACCAGCTTGTTTAAGCACATAGCCCTATAGGATCGGCCTATATTCTCAGGGGTTTGGATCCTCTCAGAATCCTTCTTTCTCCTTTTCTTTTCAGTATTTGATCTCCACCATTAGATAAAATAATGAATGGTTCAGATTTCATACTTTATAAAACTATTATTATAATATTACACAAATAGGAGAAAGAAGGTGGACATCTGCTTTTTAAAATATTAAATCCAAACCATCTATTATTTGATTGGGGATGAGATTCGGAAAAAAAAAAGGATTATGAGAGAGTCCAACTATTCCCAGTACTGCTGCTAGAAACATGCCCTCTAGTTGACACGTTACTTTTACCCTTCTATGTGAGCACTTTATATATTTCAATCATAAATATTAAAGCAAATTTTTAAGGCCTAATTGGACTTGGGCTTCAAAAAGAGTTATATATTCGGCCCCAACAATTTTTTTCCCCTTATTATTTTTATTATTTTTTATAAAAGATAAATGATACCCTTTCGATCCTTAATATATGACCTAATTATTAAATTAATTTTAGTTTTAAATATAAGATTTATTTTTTATATTTATTAATTTTTTCTAAATTACCCTTATAAATATTCCTTCAACCATAATCAAGTAAGTGGGGAAGGGATGATATTAAAAAAGATAATTACGGTGTTTTAAAAAAATATGTCATATTTCTTATAATTAACTAACTCACCTAATTTTCTTAATATAATCAAATTAGTTAAATATATCTTATATTAAGTACCAGAAAAGTAGTACTACCTCCGGTCCTAATTATAAGAGCGAGTTGACTAATTTGAGGAGATTAAAAAAATAAGTTAAGTTAGTTATTTGTAATAAATAGATGGTATCTTTCTTAAAATACCGTTACTAATTAAATGCATTGATTAGAACTACTATTGTTAGAAGGATTATCTTGGAAAAAAAATACTTAAATATGATAGACAAAGTGGATTGGGGTCTTATATTTATGACTAAAATAAAAATCAAACAAGATCTTATATTAAATACCGGAAGTAGTATAATAAAACATAGGATTACAATCAATGATTAATGAATTAAGACTGGACAAGTGAGCTGCCATTGAGTTGAAACCCAGAGTTAGACTTGGAATTGGAACAATTTTAAGAAAACCGCATGATTTTCCGGGCTAATTAAAAAAAATTAAAAAACTACAAGAAATTAAAAAAGAAATTTAACCTCTTGAAAAAATAAATATATTATGGTATTATGTTGACAATTAAACTTATTATGAATTTATTTGTTATATATATATATAGTTATCTTTCTATTAAATTTTTATTTAATTATTTTGTCATTAGATCAATCATAAGAACTATGAAGAACTTTTTTTTGTCCGATTTCGATATCCAATTGGAAAATTTTCAAAAAATACCTCTTAAATTTCAAAATTCCAAATCATGAATTTTATAAAAATATATTGTTATTTGCTTTTTAAGTGTAATAAATTGCTTTTAAAGTAGAGTAAATAAAACTGATTTGAAATTTTGAAATTCAAGATGTATTTTTTTAGATTTTCCCTATCCGATTCAATTTTTGAAAAATTGATTACGATACAGATATAACACACAGGGGAGAGAGAAAGCAAACAAGAATTTATTAAATTAAAAGGCCCATGCAAAAAGTTGGCCGGAAAAAACACAAAAGGCCACATAAAGATATAAGTTTTGCTGTTCGAAGTGTAATCCGGGAAAGAGGTCAACACTGAGTAGAGAATGTCCTGCCATATAACATGTTTCAAATCAGAATTAAAGTGATTCAATTCAATAATACAAATACCTCTGGATTTAATCTTATTGAAGAATCAAAAGTTCCCATATTTAAGATCCAACATAAATAAAGCAGCAAGGAAAACATTGAATCTCAAATCCTTTTTTTTTTTTTTTTTTGGGTTTTGCCCATTAGGGTGATGGAGATGGAGAAGCCCTGCTACTCTCGTTGTTGTTGTTGTCCAATATCAATTTCTCTTTAGGCTTTTGATCATCCAACTTCTTCATATGCAAGCTTGCTTTCTCCGCCTGCATTTGTTCACCATATATCAAATATGCGGCATTTATATATTAAGCCTTGTGTTACTTATAAAAACCTAGAAACTACAAGCAGGTATAGGTTTTGGTTTTTTCTGCCATGTCTCTGAGTGATGTATATATAACTACTTCTTAGTTACCTCCCTGTCCCAGTTGCACCGAGTGGTGATGAAGGCCAATATCACAGTCTGAGTTGCTGTACCACCAAATATCATCCCTGCCCAGATACCCTGCAATATATGTATATATGTATGTACGTATATGTATATATTGCATTTCAATTTCATGTACTTTGTATATATCAAAGTATTGGAACGTTAATCAGCAAATTAAATGCTAGCTAGTTCAGTTTCAAAACACAGCCCAAGCAATACAGGTCGAGTTAAAATCGATAGTTCGTATACGTACCATGACCCCCAGATGGAAGACCCAGCCCATCAAAAACCCTAAAGGCAAACCAACAAGATAGTAACAGCCTAGGTTTATGTATGCCACGCACGCCTGCCAACCTGACCCCACAGCCACCCCTGTTCATATATAATAATTGTCCAATATAATTCAGTGTTATATACTGTATTTTCAGGTCAATATAATGTGTCTGAAAAAGAAAAGAGTATAAAAAAGGATATGAAAAGAAATCGTAGTGCCTGAGAGAACAGGTTGAACACTATTCAGCAGAATTGTGAAGACTAGGAGAAGAGAAAGCTTGTTGACTTCCTCAAGAACAGGTTTGCTTGAAGAGAAGAGAAGGCTAATTTGATTGCGAAAGATCATATAGAAGATGCATATCACTACGCCTATTATGATCGACGTAGCCACCGACACCATGGTTGCAAACTTGGCTCCTTTTCCATTCCCAGCTCCAAGTTCATTCGCTACTCTCACTCTGCACAATTAGTACAACAATAATAGTCTCACATCACTGAGCTTTCTGTATTTTATATGTAAAAATTACACAAATTAAAAGCATACCTAAACATCATGATTTGTGGGTGTGTGTGTATACACGTAGCTATCTAATATTGCATGTGTAGAATAAGATGCAACGCTGCAAATGTCACATGATGTGTTATGACACATCCACATTTATGACTTTAGGTGGGAAGTTGTTGGCATCAATCACAGTGACAAAAGAAAGATCACAAAAGGGCGATTGAAAAGAAAGTATCAGGATTTGGGAATGGAGTTGTACATGTCCTCGTAGCTTGCAATTGTTGAAAAGATGGCACGTGTCATAATAAAAGTCTTCACTGAGCAAAATCATGCTGCATTTGTGTTGATTAATTTTAATAAATAACTTTTTTATTAGGATGAATAGAAAGTAAATATTTTCTTTTGTTATGGTCAGATCTAAAAGGCTGCGGATCGATAGAAGCTTGCATACTAAGAACAAATTTGTGAACACAATTTCCGTAAAGGTTCGCTGCATAATTTTGGGTTAAGAGATATTCAGCATCGAGTATTTTTTCAGGTACATTTGATAAACTAAAATATTTTATGGTGTATTCAACATCCTGAAATATTTTTGAAGTGTCTAACACTGTGATATATTTTTTTAATGCATCCAGCATATCAAAATATTCTTTTTAAGTGCGTCTAGCACCAAAAAATATTTTTGACGCATCTAGTACGAAAGCAAAAAAAAAAACCTTCAGGGTCTGAATACAACTAAAACATTAAAATACTTTAGGGTGCTGAATACATTTAAAAAAATATTATGAGACGCCAGGTTCATCTTAACTCTATAATTTAAAGCTTAATGGCCTCATGTATTAAACATGATTAGTTAATGCCACCCACTAATTTGAATGTTCCAAGAGGAAAAGGCTGAGAGATAGTATTAATTACCCAGTCGCAGCAAGGAACGCCAGAGGAATCATCACCTCCCATGCATTTATGGCCATGCTTTTGCCAAATATTAAACAAAAGGGAGAAAATCATTCCATGAAATGCGGATGAAAAAAGAAATTAAAGGAAAAGGTAACACTGTACTAATAATTAAAAAGGGAATATCAATATATGCAACCAGGGAAAAAGTGAATATCGTCTAGTCTAAGCGATGCCGCTTACCATATGGACAAGGCATCAATGGCAATCTGGGCGTTGTCTAGATTTCCTGTCATCAGTACCAGTATTCTATAGTACCAATTCTCCAAGCTGCAGGTTAAAAACTACACAAGTTAAAACATGAGGGGGAAAAAAAGATACATTTACCTCCTCATCATTATTTCCAAGACTAATAGAACAATCATAGTACAAAGGGATCTATTTCAGATTGTGATCGTTTGTCTGTAATAAGAAATTCAAGTTGATATATATAATTATATCTTATAAATATCGGTACCAGAGCATGACCCCGGAAGCAGCAGAGAGCTTGAGGAATTCCCATAAACCAGAAAAGGCTGCCATGGAGAAACCAGTCCATGAAAGAGGGCAACCTCCAAAAACAGTGTAAGCCAGAAGCCCTAAAGTCAGAACCCACCATGATATATTAATGGTGGCAGCCACTCCAATCACACCAAGCTCAAGTTTGTGCACTAACAACCAAGTCATGACAATATCAGTAACCACTGCCATTAAGCAAATCCAGACAATAACATCTGCCTTCAACTGGCTCTGCAGAAACCTCCACAAAGGGAACTGAAACGCGAGGCAGAAGTGAAGGGGTATCATCCACAAAGACAAAACACCACAGAGCTCTGCTATCTCAGATGGCTGACCCAGAAACTTTAATACAGGTGAAGCAAAAAGAAATATAGGCAAAATCACAACACAACACCCCAAAAGAACGATCCATGAACGCTGCATGTAAATCCCCATCATGTGGTACTTCTTTGCCCCATAGGCTTGCCCACATAGTGTTTCCAAGGCGCTTGCCATGCCCAGCTGAAGATCAAACACAAACCCATTATGCATCAAACATTGATTCAAAGGAAAGATTAGATTAGAACTTCGAAGAAAGAAACAGGTTTTGTATATACCATGAGGCCGACGTCGAATCCTAGAATGACATTTATGACAATGGACATAGAAGCGAGCTCGAGTTCGCCGAGATGGCCGGCGGATGCTTGTGTGAGGATGAATACGGAATAAGAAAGTAAACGGCTGAAGATTGATGGGCCAACGACATGCCAGAGCTTCTTAGATTCAATCCAAACCCTTTGAGCGAGGTCTTGGCCATCTTTTAATGGAATAGTAGGTGGTAGTGGGTGATCTTGCAGCAACAACGGGATGTTCGCTTCCCCTGAGGGTGAAGCTGATTCGTTGCTCGCCATTTCTGCTATGTCTATACACCAGAAGAAGTGCGAGAAGTTGCAGACTATAAGTAGCTAGAGCATGAAGATTATATCGTCATAGACTTGAAACTACGAGAAAGCGATTACTTTCTTCGAAGAGGACAGGTGAAATAAAAACGTGTGTAATAAGGCTGACAACTGCCAAAAATTAAAGTGTTTGAAGGAAGCGTGGCGTGTTCTGGCCCAAAAGAAGAAGAAGGAGGTACGGTGCGCCCTAATTAAGTTGCGATGCTTTTTCATGGTTTTGCCGACGGCGTGCATTTATTTATTAGTTCAGCCACGAAGGTCCTACATGCGTGAAGCCGCAAATCATGAAATGTTTCTATAGAAGTTAAACGAGGGAGGGAGAGGGAAGAGATTTGGATCTCTCTGTAAGACCGTAACAATATGTTACTCTCCGTTTAGTAAAGTTTCATGATTTGGATCTCTCTGTAAGACCGTAACAATAGGTTTGGTTTTAGTGGGAAAAAAAAGTATTCTATAATAGGCACTGAAAATTAATTATCAAATAACATATGGGAGTATTTTTTTACATGTTAAGCTTACCAAATAAAATTTCATGATTCAAAATGGTTGCAAAACTGTGAGTCCCAAATTGACCTTTGGGATAGACATAGGGAGCCCAAAATCCCTCCATTTAATATAGAGGTAGAGGGTGTATATATCCCTCTCAGCCTCCCTTGACAATTAGCTTTTATTATAGCAAGTGGAGATGAGAACGTTTGGGTCTTTGTGACTTAGATGAGCATCCATACTCATCAAAACTGAACTATTCAAATCTAATGTCCAAATCTGATGTTGATTGTTTAAATTTGATTTTTTTTATTTGTTTAAAATAATTATATTAATGGGTATAAAATCTAAAATAAAGATAATATTTTAATTATTATTTTTTGAAAAAAATATTTTTATTTAAAAATAATTAATTAAAAATTTTAAATTTAGACTCTTGAAATGAAATATTATCCAAATTTAATGAGTTTGTAACTCTCATCACCTTTGATGATCTTAGAGATGGATGGCTAGCTACCATATTTATTAGGAAAAATGGCAAATAAAAAACCCCTAATATGTGAAATTACGATTTGAGACTCTCAATTTACAAAATGACAAATAAAGACCCAATTTCATATTGCAAATATGAGATTTTGGTAAAATATTTGAATTGCCCCGCAGTCAAGTTGTGATTTGATCTACTGAAGTTGTCATTCTGATGAGAGCCTTTGTCGTTCGCCTTGGGGTTCCCGATCAAAAATAAATCCAAGCAATGCAATATAGTGCAAAACTCGAGTCGTTTCACTTTGAGAAGCCTTTATTTGAAATCCTAAGCAAATTAAGTATCAAAAATAAAGAATTGACTTGGAAAGGCATTATTTTCTTTTTAACTAACTAATTGGCAAAATTTAAAAGGATGCAAAATGAGTAAATAATTTTTGGATTTTTAGTTTGTAAAATAGATATGAATGAAATAAGCAAAAAGAATTAACAAGTGACAGCAAATAGAAAAGCAATCCTCTAGCATAATGATTAAGACTATTATTACTTTAATTAATTTGGAAGTTAGCTAAATTCAAAAAACTTTAAGGGCCACCCTTTAGACTTGGTTTGATTAGAATAATCAACACCAAGTCATCTTGTATATTAATTACTCACAATTAAACTGTTTCAGCACAATTAGCCAAAAAGAATCAAAGAAAAACAATTAACATTTTTAGTCCAATAACCAAGCCACTTTGAATTTCCACTAAATATTCACAATAATTTCAAAACATAGTCTGATCCAGTACAATGTAAAAAAATTAAAGCTAATCACAGCATAATATCAAATGCTAATAAAAAATTCCAACAACTACTACCAATCTCAACACAAATATAAATCATCACAGCACGTTCAAACATTATAAAATGCATTCTAAAACCTAAAAATCACAATTACAATGAAGAAGTAAAGATTACAATGAAGAAGTAAAGATTGGAAGAGTTGAAACTTTCCTTTGAAGCTCTAAGTTCAAGCCATAATCATTGCTATAGAGAATTGGAAGGATTTAGTTGCTTCTAACCATCACTACAGCTCCACCAAAATTCCAATTCGGTTCAGCTAGGAAGAACAATGAAGATAGAATTTGGAGGTGTGATATCACCGTGGAAGCTCACTGTTTTTTGGTCCGTCATTCTGTCTCTGTTCGCCGCCACTCCTCTGGTTCTGTTGTGCAACGTGGAGAGGAAGGAGATGCAGTTGACGGTGGCAATGGAGACACGAGTAGAGGCAGCAGAACAGAGGAGCTCGCCGTCACTCGTGAGCGCGTCCTCTGGTCCTATTCACGCCGCTCTCCTCTTGCCCCCAGCCCAATATGAAGATGATGATTTGAATAGTAGGTTATTAGGGGAGCAAAAAGCAACCTTTTACTCCTTTTTTTTTTTAATTATTTTTTTTATATTTTCATTTTCATTTTTTTATTTTCACTTTTATTTTTAAATCTTTCAAAAACCGGCAAACAAAATTTAAGAAAAAGGTAGTATTAATTGTCCTTAAAAATCAGTTAATCATAATTAAACCAAAATATGATAATTTTGCCCCTATAAAATAATAATTCAAAATAAAACATATTAAATTAATTAACAATCAATTAAGGCAAAAAAGTGACCAATTAAGTTGACAAAACCCATATAAAAGATATCAAACTATATAAAAATAATTGAGTTTGTCGTATTCGTTAAAGTAAACTTGTCATTTCTCATAGTCAACTTGTCATTTGGCATACCCTCAGTCAAGTTGTAATTTGGTCTACTGAAGTTTTCATTCACTAAAGTGAATTTTTCATTTCTCATAATCAAGTTGTTACTTAGCCGAAAGGTATTTCAGATATTTTATCAAGATTTCATATTTACAATATAAGATCAGGTATTTATTTGATATTTTTCAAATTGAGGATTTTAAATAATAATTTCACGTATTGGGAGTCTTTATTTGTCATTTTTTTCATTGATTATGTCTATCAGCCAAAGTTTTCAACTTCATGGAAACCGATAATCTTTGTAGGTGGGCTCAACAACTCAAGAGGAAATCAAAGAAAACATGCATGCTTTATAATAAGTGGGAAGCTAGCCACCAGCTACTTACTGTTTCTGACGATATTCCAGTTTGATTGGGTTGATGGGAATTGGAAAAGCCTCTGATCTGATGGAGTTCCGTTTAATTTCCTTCTCACTATTTTGGTTGCAACCATTTCCATTTGAAATCTGATCAAAGTGTATTATTAAAGGCACAGGTCCTCTCTGATCTATCAAATTGGAAACGAACAGCTCACACCTTAACAGAGATATTTCTCATCAGAAATATTGAAACCCACCTGAGACAGCACCTGGCAAAAATTAAAGTAAAGATAATTAAAGATCCACTGGGAGAGATAATATAATTCTGAATTTGTACTGATTTCGTGTGAGAGAAGACTTTAGACAGATCACGGATATCACTTTAAAAAAGTATATATTTTCATGCAAATCAAAATAAAACTCTTCTTAAGATCGTTTCTAAAAACTAATCTAAACACTACCGCTCGTCAGAAATTAATTATGGAAGCGACAGTGAAATGGATAAGACAGAATTATAATACTACCTCCGATCCCAATTATAAGAGCCAGTTGACTAATTTGAAAAAATTAAGGAAGTACGTTGAGTTAGTTATTTGTCCTAAATAGGTGTTGTCTTTCCTAAAATATTTTTGCTAATCAAGTGTATTGACTAGAACTTTTATTATTAGAAAGGCTATTTTGAAAAAAAAAATATAAATATGAGAAATAAAGTGGATTGTGGTCTTATATTTAGGATTAAAATAAAAGTCAAACAGAATCTTATATTAAAAACGGGAGGTAGTATATTAATAACTTCTTTGCTGGTTCTGTTTCCCAGGATGGGACCATTTTGATCATCTGACGGTCCCTTCTATATCGCTGTGTGTGATTACTATTAAACTTTTTTGCACTTGTTAATTACGATTGAGAGAGAGAGAGAGAGGCAAGGATCAATAACATGAGAATAGTCGTTTTAATTATGTTGATATAGTAATTCTAATAATTGGTCTCTAGGTCGTGTCCCCAGAAGGCAGAAGCTTGGAGGATTGTCATGGGAAATTACCCATGCTTTGTCTGGCAAGTTTCAAATGCTTGGGATGTAATTAGGGCTAAAGTGTGTGGGCTTCAAATGAACAGCCCAAATACATGAGATGGGTGGGCCCTGTTCTTGCTGCTTTCAGTTGGGCCCTGCCACTTTACAACTCTGTTCTAACAATAACAAGCCTTTCAGATTCTTTTGTACCAGAAAAAAAAAACTACATTTAAAGGAGATTTTATGGCAGCCTTTGAAACGTGGAAGCTCAGCTTAAAAAGACAGAGGGGGGCCAACAAAATCAATGCAAAGAAAAGCCCAGTTTAATGGAAAAATTACTATGAAGATCTATAGAAGAAATTTAATTATCAAAAATTCCTAATGACAAGTGATTAGTATAAATTTGTTGTTATTTTCTATTTTAGAACTTGTCATTAAATACGATTCAGCTATCAATAGATTTTAAAACAACTAAATTCCTTGCTTAAGACTTAATTATAAATTTATGGTTCCCCCTAGTTTAATAATTCCCCCCGTCACTTTTCATCTCATTCCTAAAAGATGGCTGGTGATCAAAGAGCCTATAATTCCCTTCAAACTTATGAAGGAGTTTGGCAAGCTGGTCAGTTAAAGAAATACCTTCCCTTAGTATATATATCTAACCACAACCAGTCAATCCCTGCAAATAAGTAGTCTAGCTTCCTCTACAACGTCATTAAAGAGATGTGAAAAGTCACAACTCCTACTTAACAAATTAATAGCTTGAATTTAATCAGAAAATTGGCATAGCTGTCTAAAACATTTAGCCCAATAAATAAAAGACTGAGAATATAATGCTCCCTATCAATTCTGCAATAGTTGGAGGTACTCTTGTAAGTTTATAATCAAAGCCATATATAAATTCGCTAATATTGGTCTCTCTATCTTGAATGATGCATCTGCATCCACTTCTTCTATATTGCAACATGTGCAGAACCATCAGCTTCCACTTTGATGAGACCTTTAGGGAGAGGATGACTATTTTGGCCATTTGAAGGATTAAGATTAGAAGTCGAAAATCTTTGACGGAGATTCTAGTCTGCACAGGCTCTAAATAGACTGGACTTAGATTGATCAGCTAAGCTTTTCATACTGAATAATGAAATAGAACATTACGAATTAATGAACAAAAAGATATATTGGTATTCTCATAACCAAACCAAATCCACTGATTTCAGAGGTGAACCCACAAATCATATGTTAATTCAAGATCAAACGCTTTCAAAAATTATGAAAATGCAATTTTTTTTTTGTTTTTCTATGATACGCGTATGTATTAAATTAAAGATATTTCGAATTTTCTATTATAATTGTATTATTTCACTTCCAGGATCTGTCAGTTCTAATTTCATTAATTCAACATTGTGTAATTATGTATTATAAAGTTATAATTTTTTCAAATGAAATTAGCTTCTGCTATGTGCCTTTAAACCCGCCAAATTATCATATTTTGATTCTCTCTGTTTTTTCCCCCGCCAGTGCACAAATGTCTTAGATTTTCAGAATTTCGCCCCCTGTGAAAATTTTCTGGCTCCGTACGTCATCTGGCTATTTATGCCTATTACTACTCCTCCCTCATTCCATAATTTAAGATGTTGGTTAGAAAAAATTTATTGTCCAAATATTAGAGTTGTCAAAATAATTAATTTGATTTTTTTTCACTTTCATTACTATTAAATATAGGAGAAAAAATAAGAGATAATAAAAATATAACATTAAAGGCACCTTTATCATTTTCTAAGGATAAAATAAAAAAATTATCATTTTAGAACACATTTAATGACTAAGCTTCTATTTTTTAGTATATAAGAAAAGTTAACTAACTTCTTATATTATGGAGGGGAGAGAGTATTACACTTTTTTTTTGGTAAAAAAAAACCTATTATTACTACTATTACGTTGTTATCATTAAAATCCTCAACTTTTAGTGAAGCTTACCTTCTATTATTACATGGAACTTAGAGTTGCTTCTAACATTAAAATTTACTTTAATTTCAGTAGCAGTTGTTCTAAATATACTTATTCCCGCTTGCAAGCTCACACATACTTGCGCGCCTTATTCATATCCACTTTAGTAACACTTCGTTTAATCTCTTCTTTCTTTCTTTCTTGTTTGTTTATATACGCCTTTCACTGGGTAGGTTGAAATTAAGCCATGTTTTGCTAAACTTCTTATGCAAGAAGCCCAGTCACTTACTCAATAATCTGCTGGAACACATTCATTAAATCTATTGTGTTACTTTGCATTTAATTTATCTTTTACTCGTCAATTTATTCATAATTGCATTGTCAAGGTAGCAATATCTCTTCATTATTTTATTATTTGATACGCCCAACACTGGCGATTCAACGTTTCATGCGTCGAATGCAATAGACATACTCAATGGTGTATCATCATCTTCAAATATATATAATTAGAATATCAATATGATTATATGAAATAAAATGTTTATATTTTGCATAAAAAATTGAAAACCTATTGCACACATACGGCCCATCAAAATCATTTTGATGTTTACCCCAGAAAAATAAAATCATTCTGATCGATGAGAAGGATGGAATGTTTTTATGTGGTAAAAACGCGCGCCACCTTTCAATATCAATACAATCAATGACATAAAAGAATTTGTTTTCCAAACCCAAAAAAAAACAGAGAGAGATGGAAACATTTGTACACGTACGGCCATTGAATAATTATGTGTATATACTACTCCGGTCCTTAATAAAACCTAGTTTGATTTTTATGTTAATTCTAGATATAAGATTCCAATCCACTTTTTCTATCATATTTATATATTTTTTTAAGATAATCCTTCTAATAATGGTAGTTCTAGTTAATAAATTTGATTAATAAGGATGTTTTAGGAAAGACAACACCTATTTATTACAAATAACTAACTTAACTTATTTTCTTAGTCTATTCAAATTAGTCAATTAGCTTTTATAATTAAGACCGGAGATATTATTGAATAATGGAAAATGTTATTATTGATGAAATCATGAAAAACAAATCCTCCTTTCAACATAATATCAACGCTCGAAAGGGACAAATTGATAATAGTGGCTTTTCATAGTAATGTTAAACTAATTGACCAACCAAATCTTGGATGGTGGCACCCTTAGGATTATAAACATTCTAATTTTTATGGGTCAATTATAAAAATTATAATTTAAGTGGGTGTGAAAGTTAAGCCATTGATAAGATTAATTAAAAAAATAATAAGCCCTGAATAATTGTCAGCAGTCTAACCCAAGGGTAAAGTTAGGGGTTTAGTGTGATATAAGCTACCAAAGCTATCTCCTAATCATATCTAACTCAACTACAATAATACAAATATTAGTAGGCCATCATGGGCCCACAGGGCAATGCATGGTGAGTGGTACTATGTTTTCAATCATTTCATATTTCGTATGATGTGGCAATTACACACACACACACACACTAAAGGTCTGTCAAATTATAATCAAACATAATTAACATGGTTAATTCATTTGACCCAAAAACTAACAATGGTTATTTGTCTAAGGCGACTCCGTCAGACCGTCACACATTTTGATTAAATTTGAATTCAAAAAGAAAGTTAATATATCGTATTTATTTATTTTTTTGGTAGAAACCAGGTGGTATCCCCTAGCCGATAGCCAGAGACTAATCCTGGCCTGATTCGAACCTATAACATCATGTTTAAGGGACCCAGCCATCTACCAACTGTGCCAGGCTTTGTTGGTTAATATATCGTATTTAAATCAAATCAAATGGACCCATAAAAGATAACATAAACAATAGAAACTGAATTTTTAATCATTGTGAATATATATTGTTATATATAATAGTTGGGTGTTGTGGTTTAGTTACGTTTAATGACGGGAAAATCCTAAATAAGTATAAAATAGTAATGGACGTCTTTACTCAAATGATACACCGACCTTAATTAGCAGCTAACTTGGGTGGCCAACTTGCAACAACGTCCTGAAATTAAACCGTTAGATACTCATAACTTCTCGAATGTTTAGGATAGATATACCACATGTATAGATCTTTATATTGACATTGATAAGTTTATGAATTTTTTTTAATTAACTTTGTGGACAAAACTTATGAATGAAAAATATTGTAGGGTTATATATATATTTTATATAAAGCACAATGAATGAGGATTTGAAAAATGATGTGATGAGTCGATATTCGATAGGGACTATTGAAAATTTGAAATCATCAAGCTGTTGAACACTTCCATATAAAAAATTAAAAATAGTTTCACGGTGGCAGAAAGATTATTTGAGCTAATTATGTGAGTTTAAAGATAAATTAAGGGGATAGAAAGTGAAGTATTTTTAATTTTCTTTTCGCCAGCGAAGTATTTTAAAATCTAATTAAACGGAATTTGGATCATATATCTTTATACTTTCTCAACATCTCTCTCCCTCTCTCGATGCCCGAACGCATCCATTCATTTTGATTTTAACGGTAAAAGATGGTTAATCGTAGCATTAAACTAATTATGTTATTTATTTAGTTAACATCATATATGATTATATATTGTTCTAATTTCTTATATATAAGAATATTACGGTGGTAAATAACTATTGAGTTACCATCAAGAGAGAAAATAAAGAAGGAGGAAGAATCATATTATACTCATCCAGTTCTTAATATAAGAAATATGATATGTTCTTTTTAAAACATCATAATCATCTTTTTTAATATCTTCCTTTCCTCTTTTACTTAAATATAGTTAAAAGAGTATTAACAAAAATAATTTCAAAAAAAATTAATAAATCTTACATTTAAAACTAAGATCAATTTAATAATTAGATCTTATATTAAAAGCGCAGAGAGGCAGTATAATTATTAATTAACCAAGTATCTCGGTCAATAATATCAACGTTGCCCTATATGGAGACGAGGCCAACTTAGAATGAGACACGTATCAAAAGAATATCAATAGAAAAAGTAGATTTGGTAACCTACTCCTGACGTGAATGAACATAACATGGGTAATTATTAACTAACTACTTTATTTACGATCCCTCCTTCATGATTATAACTTACCAGCTACCATGGGGGAAGAAACATCATTTTTTTCCTCACTAAGTCATGGAAATTATGATTACATATATTTGAAATTAAGTGATTATTAAATGGCTTTTTGCTTTCCGAAAGTTTTTTTTTTAAAAAAAAAGATTAAAACAAGAATCGCAAACTTTTATTCCCACTATAATCGAATAATATACAATGAAATCAGACGCATCTAGCTACAAAGTGTGGACTCCAAACAATGAATCACTAAATAATAGCAACAATAGTCATCATCAAATCCTCAGTAATCATAATCCTCCCTGCATATACATAGAATATAATAAAAGGAAAACCATAAACACATTAAATTAAATAATTAAAAAAAAACTACTCCATAAGACCAGGAAGAAAAAGATCTCGTCCGTCCAAGATAATCAACATCAAAATCCGATGCATGCCAGCCCATGCGGATCAAAATATTCTAAGCCAAAACGAAGGCGAAGAAAGTCGCAGCGACAGCGGTCCCAGCAACGGCGGCCTTGCTGATGGAGAATGCGGCGGAGGGTGCCTCGGAACCAGGAGACACAGGAGCAGCGCCGCCGGGGCCGGAAGCAGGTGTGGAACCGCTGGGACCGGGTGCCTGAGACGGGGAAGTGCCGGAAGGCGGTGGAGAAGGAGGAGAAGGGGTAGGCGAGGGAGTAGCCGGAGCAGGGGCAGGAGCCGACGGTGGAGTGGCGGGAGCAGGGGTGGGTGCCGGAGACGGAGTAGTTGAGGGTGAAGGAGATGGTGTGGGAGTGGGCGACGGCGTAGTGGGAGCCGGCGAGGGTGCGGTTCTTGGGGCTTGAGCTAAGCACGAGGTGGCCAAAAGCCCCAAGACCAGAAACACTTGAACTCCATGAAAACCCATGTTTGATGAAAACTCTCAGAATCAATTCAAACAGGAACACAAAGAAGCAGGGAGGAGAAGAAGAGAGTGAGATATGAACAATGGGAAAGCGTGGATGATGTATATATATATAGAAAGCAAGGGGAAGGGGAGAGAGAAGAATTATAATTGGTGCAGATATTATTTAATTAAAGTATAATTACGTGAACGAGTCATACTTGACCGATCATGCATATGCATTCACATATTCTTAACCAACCAAGAGCCAACCCAACTTCACAACGTGGGTTAAGTAGGCAATATATGGCGGTGATGTGATTATTAATGAGTCAATCTTCTCTTCTCCCACAATACTTTTTTATTTTACGCATTTCGTGTTTTTTCCCCTTCGACAATAGCGTAACCCTTTACCTAATCGGCTCAATTATGAGTTAAGACTCTTCGTTTTCTCCGAATACTTCTATATTTTTTATTTTTAACACCAACGGCTAATGTTTTGAAATTTGCATGCATTGCGACATGGACTCTCGTACCGTAGATATGCAATCCAATTTTAAGAGAAAAATGTTATTTTTGTTATTTGAATATTTAGATTGAAAATTGAAATATGAATGCATTTATTTTGTTTCAAATTAGTGTTATTATTAATATTATGAGTGTGAGACAAAACCGCGTTACGGATACAATACGGTTTATCGGGTGGAGTCTTCTTTGACCTTCTGGCTTTTGCGAAGTTACTTGCCTTATCAGACTGGGTTGCGCGTCAAGCTTTTCTGGGGGAAAAGACACACCTATTCTTGGTGGCTTTATCATTTGATTCGTTCATACACTGAACTTACTAGAATACCCTTTTGAATCCGCTTTCTCGTGGTGAGACAATCATGGTTCCACCCGTTCATTAATAATAGTTACTGTAATTTTTGTTTCCGAAGGAATATTCTTCTGGGGTGTCTCTGTAAATACATACATATATATATATATATATTATGTGGTCTTGTTTATTCTCTGATGAGTGCATTACAGCCAAAATAACCATCCATCCTCCAACTTCTAGTTTAAAATAAAAAATAATTACTTTTTTTAAAAAAAATGAAGGATATATGTTTTGGAAATGACAATATGGCGCCAAGTGGGATCTGGCTTTACTGAGATGGCCACGTGACGTACATAATAATGTTGTAGAAGGAGGCAAGCAGGAGAGAAGAAAGTTCGGAGAGGGTGGGAAGAGTGAGAAACGTACGTACAGTTAGAAGGAGGAGGGGCTTTGAATTGAATTGAAGGATTCCAGATGGGTGAGGTCACCAACTGCTCGAGTGGGTAAGAAGTAGGAACCTGAAAATGAAGAATGAGTAAATGGGGCAGAAGAAGCGTATTGAAGGCGGTGGAGCAGCACGCCAAAACACACATTTTCACAAAACCAAAAAAGGGGAGGTCCTTTTCAAAAGTCACACACAGACCAATACCCAATTCAACAAGGTCTTAATCAGCACCATGACCTTTGAAATTTTGAATACACACAACCATGCTAGGAGATGATCCCTATCCATATCCGTTGCGAAACATTCACAGGGAAAGAGAGGTCGGTTTGGTGCTGTGACGAATGAAAGCAAAGTCAGATTATTAGACGAGCTCAGATAACATCATGAGTGCATCATTTTGACATACAAAAACCTTGAACCTAGTTGTTGTGTCCAATTTTGGGTTTATCTTTTATGCTCATCAACTTTCAAACTAACATCACAACCGCCTTGTAGCCGAATGCTAGTGAAAGTTCTTCTGTAAGTGAAAGATTGCGAATTTTCAATCATACTTGCAATCCCATTTAATTTTGACGTTGCCATCAGCACCCAGTGGGGCTTGCCCAGCAACTTCCACGGAATTGCAATTAATTTTTCACTTTGGTTTATGCTCGTTTTTGGGCTGAAACCTCAAGGGCTGGCCCAACAGGCAACAGCATAAGAGGGATTCCTTCTATGCTCATTTATTTAATATCTCCAGATTTCAATCTCTGAACTCTTTCTATCTATATTTCAGAAAAATGGGTTGTTTTACCTCTGTGGCAAGTTCTAATATTTTGTGATTTTACTGAAATAAAATACTCTTATAATTCTAAAAATTGAAACCGTCGTGATTAATAAAAGATACGGTAGATAGGTGGTGAAGAAGCAGGTTTTTTTTTTTTTTTGTGGCCGGAGAAGAAGCAGGGGTAGTTGGTACCTAACATCAGCACAGGCAAAGGAGGCATGGACCATAATGTCATACTAGCCGCCGTCATCTCCCTCATCATCATCATTCAATCTTCACCGTCATATCATTCATTAAATTATTACCTCTGATCTTAATTATAATTATAAAATTTTGTTTATAGTTAATAAGATTTTATAATTAAAATCAAAAATAATTTACAAATAAATGAGGTCTTATAATTTTATAATTAAAAAGAAAAGTAGTCTGCAAAAAGGTCGTATATAATTAGAACTAAAGCTAGTATTAATTACAGTCTGTTTTCATTTTCAAGTCATTGCAATATTATTTCACAAGTCAAATCTCCCGAACCATCAATTTTTTCACAAGTTTACACACACCTGAGAAGCTGAAATCTCGAAAGCGAAGAGGATCCTGGAGCAATCTTAATTTCGTCATGGAAGTTCCAACCCAGAGAAAACCCAGAGTGCTCTGCCTCCATGGATTCAGGACCAGTGCTAACATCCTCCGCAAATTGATCGGAAGATTTCCGGAATCTGTTCTCCGAAAGCTAGACCTCGTCTTCCTCGACGGGCCATTTCCGGCGCAGGGCAAATCTGATGTTGAAGGCATCTATGATCCTCCTTACTTCGAGTGGTTCCAATCTAACCGGGTTCACCTTGGATCTTGATCAATCTCTTTCATTCTGTATATATCTTCCACACATTCGAGTGCTGATAGTTGCTTTCTTTTTTCCTTTAAAATTCTCTTACAGGATTTCACAGATTTCGTGAACTTCGAAGAATGCCTAGCTTACGTTGAAGATTATATGGTGAAAAACGGTCCTTTTGACGGTTTACTTGGATTTTCTCAGGTGGGGTTGAAATTACTGTTCTTCTTCTCTCGGATTGAAGACATGTAATGAAACTTGACAGATTCATTTTACCTTCAGGGTGCTATTTTAGCAGCCGCATTGCCGGGAATGCAGTCGCAGGTACTAACAAATCCTCAATAAGCTTGCTTGACCCTTTTATTTTGGTTGAAGAATGAACACTTGAATTCCTGGGGAAAAAACCCAGAATATACATTTAACTGGGTGATTTTTCTTGATTGATTCCACAACTTCAGGGCGTGGCACTTGGGAAAGTAGACAAGATAAAGTTTTTGATTCTGATGTCAGGAGCCAAGTTTGGGGGAAAGAAGTTCGGAACGCCTAAATTGGCTTCCAATGCATTCTCAAAACCCATTAACATCCCATCTCTCCACTTCATTGGTAATTAAACACTCTTTCTTCTATATGTCATTTCCTGATGCAGAGTTCTCTCACCATATAGAATAACTGGGTATAGATACAGAAAGTGATCAATATTAGCATACGTTTTAGTGGCTGTTTTGTGGGTGAAGGTGAAGAAGACTTCTTGAAGGAAGAAGGGATTGCAGTACTGGATGAATTCGTGGACCCACTAGTGATTCACCATCCAAAAGGACACACGGTCCCCAAGCTTGGTCAGTCATTTGGTACATTGTAGTATTCAAGGAGATGCTGCAATCTGTATTATACTAATCTGAGTTCACAACTTTTGATCATGTTTCCGTCAGATGATAAGGGTCTGGAAACTATGCTGGCCTTCATTGACAAGATTCAGAGCATGCCATCAAAATCTTCATAACAAGACCTGAGCCCATCCACACACTTACTGATCTGCTGCTCTGGTGATTATATAATTAACTGCATACATAGGAGCCTGGGGACCAGTGGTTTAGATTTTAAGAGAAGGCTTTCTTGTCTTCAGTCTTCTGTATTCCTGTCTGGCAAAATATAGTGATCAGCGATGGAAATTGATTTAAGTTCAATGAGAATAATCCATGTTAATTATATGCCTGGTCCAAAAAATAAAGAAGAGTGTTAATTATATGGGTTCATCTTCATGTGACGTGTTTTCTGAAATAAGGTTTGCATATGATTATGGTGCGGGCTTCTATATCAACGGGAGATTATCCTGATCTTCTGATGTAAACTGGATATTTGAGATGAGCGGATAACATCTATAGGAAGTTTTAGTGGTAATAAATGAAGAAGTGAATCAAAATATTTTATTAAAATCAATATATTCTACAACAAAAACTTGGGTGATTATATCATTTCCTTAGTATAAGAGTTAATTAACTAATTTAACTATATTAAAAAAATTAGTTAAATTAGGTAGTTGTAACGAATATATGTTATTTTTTCTAAAATACCCTTATTAATAATATGTATTAGTTAAAATTATCACTTGAAACATTTAATATGTGTAACTGTTATAAAAGTCATCTTGAGAAAAAATAGATAAATACTGATAAATATGAGAGACGAAATGAATTGAGACTTAATATTTAAGACTAAATTAAATATCAAAATAGCTCTTATATTAAGAACGAAAGGACGTATAATGCAATTTTGCCCATCAACTTCAAAAAATAGTGCAAAATCCCTAATTTATAACAGGTCAAGTGTCTATTAAGTAAGAAATGCGTGTACTACATACTTTGTTATGTGTAAACTAGACTGGGGACAAAAATGCCTATAAAGTGTATTATACTATGATACAATTTTGGACATCAACCATAAAAAAAGTGCAAAAATCTCCGACCTGTAATAGAGGCACATGTTGACAAGCGTTGATCGTAATTATTATTATTATTATTATTTTTTACCAGAATCATGATTATTAGAGATATTGAAATTTTATGGCATGAAATGCAAATATGAAAAAGATGGGTGTTTCATTTACACCCAACACAACATGAACATGTGAGGCTCACCTCCTTCACGTGATGCCCCTTTAACATGTTCGACAATTTTTTTTGCCTTGATTTTTTTTTTTTTACCTTTTTTTGTTTTTTAGAGTTCTTTTTTTTTTTTTTTGCCAAGGTTTTTTTCAGAGTTCATGAGCAAACTTGTACCATACTAAAGTTAAGGATGCCAGCAGCTTCTCCAAGAATACATGGGGAATATTTTTGTACATTAACCTAAAAAGTAACATCTATAAATAAAATAAAACAAAAGTATACTGGCAAAAAAATAAAAGTTTAAAAAAAAATTATAGATATTGAGCATTTTATAGTTTGTTTGGGAGTCACATGATTTAAAACAAAACTCTTTTCATATATTTTATTTTTGAAAAGTTATTTTTAAAAAATTATACTGCAATTACAAATAAACATTTATTCTTGGCTTATATGAATACTTTTTATGTTTAAATTTTGTGAAATAATTAAAACTTTCTCAAATTAATATGACCACCTAATTAAAATTAGAGTTTTTTTTATCAAAATTAAAATTAGAGTTCGATCATATAAAAATGGGATCATATATTTTTTAATAATTTAATTTAATTTCCCATTTGTAGGCTGCGACCTGGGCAGGGCAGAGCCATGGAAAGACTTGAGCCGAGCCCCCATCTTGTTCGCGCTAGAAAAAGTCAATGATTCAATTTTGGTCCAAATCATCATCATCCTTTCTTTCTTTACCAATTCAAATGCCTCTCCAATTCTCAATCCCAAATGGTGGCTTCTAATTCTTTGCCGAGTCAGAAAAGGTAACGCATTGTTGAACACTCACGCGCCGCCCCACGCGCCCTCAATTACTGCCTCCGGATCCCAATTTTTTTTTTTTTTATCCCCATGGAGCATACGAAAACGGAATCCGACCACCCCGGTCAAACCAAGGTCCCAGAGCCGGAAAGCAAATCTGATCCGAAGGACTCAGCTCCAGGAGCTAATGGAGATGGTAATGCGGGGATTGCCGTTAACGCAGCGCACTCGGGATCGGAATCGGATTCCGTGGGTCCTGCAGGGACAGTGAAACGCACCGTATCGACCGGAAGCATCAGGAAGTCTGTACATTGGAACCCCGATTTGGTTTCTGAAACCACCTTTGTGGCTTCGCCAGAACGATTTCGTTCGAACAGTCTGTCCTCCTCTATGTCCCAGACTTCCGTCAATGTCAAGGGTCAGTTTGCTATGTGATTTGTATGAATATGTAATATTTATGCACAGTTGCGTGTCTATGTGGATGCCCATTTTGATGCCTTTTGTGGGCCTAATGGACAAGTCGGTGGTTCTGAATCAGATACGTTAGATACGGTTCGTAATGTGCTAGGAAGATGGGGAAAGAAGGTTGGAGAAGCGACGAAGAAGGCTGAGACTCTGGCTGGAAACACTTGGCAGCACTGTAAGTTTTACCGTTTTGCTATCTAATTTTTGGATTTATTTGTTGTTCTGGTTCTTTCGTCTAGGATTAATTTCTGTTGGATATGAAGAAAGTATTCATTCAATGGCAATGGCTCTTGATTCACGGGTTCCACAAATTTTCCCTCCGGCACTAATTATAGGGCAATGTTTCTATAAACTTCGCCCTATAATTATGATTAGGACCAGAGGGAGTGCATACTTTTTAACTCGCTACTGAAAACTCACATATGGTGTTGCTAATGAGAATGATATCAGATGCCTGTCTATATCCATCGCCTTTTTCGTTTTCCTGCCCAGAATTCGGTAGAAAATTAATATTAGAGTTCTGCGGACCGGAGTATGACATGAAGCCGATGTTTAGCATGGAAGTTAGTTTTAAAACATGTTTTAACATGATATGCGTGTACTGAGCACCAGCTTCTTTTTTGTATGGTTTTCCATGGTCTTTGCATTCCCCCGGGGGGGGGGGGGGGACATGATATGCATGTAAAAATTCATTTTCTTGTGTCATATGTCTTAACCAACATAGAAATGTTAACTTCTCAGATAATTGTTTTTACTTTCTATCTTATACTTAAATGTGAAAATTTACTTAGATCTACAACTGTACTGAACTGGCTTGTTTTGTCTAAATTACATTAAAGTGAAAACAAGCCCGAGTTTTACTGAAGCTGCTCTGGGAAGAATTGCCCAGGGAACAAAGGTTCTAGCAGAAGGAGGCTATGAGAAAATTTTTCAACAGACGTTTGAGACAGTTCCAGAGGAAAAGCTCCTGACTTCTTATGCCTGCTATCTATCCACATCAGCTGGTCCAGTAATGGGAATTTTGTATATATCCACAGAGAAGATTGCTTATTGTAGTGACAATCCTATTTCATATAAATCCGACAACCGAACAGAGTGGAGCTATTATAAGGTATATATGTTACAATCCAAAAGAATGTTTAGTCTAGGAAGGTAATGGCGTGGATATTTAATTTTCCAATCTAGATTTTAGTTTTATCCATCTGAGTGGTTTGTGTTTTCAGTGCTCTAGCATTAGTTGTTGCATTATGGATTAGTTAGGTTGAATTCAAATTTAGTGAAGTCCGGTGTTTGGTTAGAAGCTCTAAGGTACATTACACTATATTCCTTTGAAAGGGGACCAAATCACATGACCCTCTCTTCTATTTTAAAAACCTATCCTTTCCTTCTGTGAAGCCCAAAGATGGGCTCTCTCCTCTAAAGCCAAAGATGGACTACAGTTGTACTTATTTTGACTAAAATATCTTTGTATATATTATTTATGTAACATGGACAAATTAAATGCGTTCTTGATCAAGGTAAAATCAGTCAAGTCTTTGTAATTTAGAATAAATAAAATACATTTTTCAACCCAAAATAAATTACTTTAAAATAAATGTTTTAAAATAATTTTAAATAGTTTTATTTTTGACAAAAAGAAACTAATTATTCTTATTGGGCATTTTGGTAAGCTTTTAGCTCGTGGAGATTAATGTATGTTTTCATGATAGAAAGATTGGGTAATTTAAATATTTCTTAGGAGAGGAAAGAGTGAGTCGCCCTACTTCTTGTACATCATGGAACTGGGGAAGCTATACTTACAGTTATCTATTCAAGGAAACAACTACTCTGTGGAATGCGTATATGCAATTGTGGTTGGATAACATTATAAAGGTAGCAGAAAGATGAGCTGCTTATTATAAGCATCCCTATATAAATTTTCAATTATCACTACTCTTCAGGCCAGGTCTATGGTGCAACGATTGCACCAGACACCAGCGCAACAGCTTTGTTGGCTGCGGTTTATTGACCATTACGTTGGGAAATGAATTTGACAGATAAAACAGTCAGCTGTTACATCTTATAGCTGGCCTTGTTGCTAGGGCCATGTTGCCACAGTGGCACCGGCACCTCCTCAACAGAGAGGAGGTTCTGGGCTAGATCCCTTGCAAGTGTGACTGTAAAAGTGTGTTTCCTAGATCTGATTTCGAAAAAAAGAGGGGGCAAAAAAAAAAGGTTGGCCTTGTCTTTAAACAATCGTTATTCTAGTTGTGCCATCATGCTAGGTGAGACAAATAGGACCGTTAAATTCATGTTAAATTGCCATCTCTGGGTTCCTTGCTTATCAACCATGACAGAGTTGTCTTTATCTTGGATTTTATGCTAGTGAGAGACATCCTTATGATGGGTTATGGTGGAAACTGTTCTGATCGGGTCAAACTTCATCTACATGTGGCTCATAAATTCGTTGTGACACGAAGCTCTTTAAGTTTTATTTTCTTCTTGTTGTGTTCTGTAATGCTATAGCCTCTAAAAAATGAAGCCTGCAAACCTTAAAAGAGAATTATGTTTTGGCATGAGGGGAGTGTCCTTTGTAAGTATGGCCCTAGCAAATTATGTTTTGTAGTTTCGTTGTATATGTACCTTCAGTTTCATTAAATTTTATTTGCTAAAGTATTAATCTTTATTTTTTGGTGTGTCTCTTAATCATGTTCCACTTGGGTTCATCCTGGATTCAGTTATGTTGGTAGAATAAGTATGGCCTTTAATTTATCTTAAACTCTTTCAAAGTCAAACTCACTACTTAGCCCTTGTTTGTAATTCTTTAAAATCTTAGAATATATTCCCTCTTCCACGTTGTGAAAATTTTTAACCCTAGAATCTCATATTTGCCGCTGTCTTCTACTTGCAAAACTCCACATATGCAAATGCTCTGTAGAGTCATACACATCTTTTAACTGTTATGAGTATTATTGTAAAATTAGATAGAAGAAACAAAACCATCTAAAATAGATGCAATTTTAAAATTTAGAGCATCATCATCACAGTAGATCATGCCACATGAGGACAATCCTTTTAGTGATCATTGTTTCTTCCTTCTCTTTTATATATTTAGTTAATACTCGCTTGCATTCATAGCTCATCTTCTCAGTATGACTATTTTTCAGTGCATTATCTGCACTTGACATTTAGTAAAATGTGTGCTTGGATGTTTGTCCTATAAAAGTGACAATAATCATACAAGTCCATAAGCTATCAAAGTGAGAGACTAGCTTCACTTCCTTAATTGTGTTTAATCTGAGAATGGAGGCCTTCAATATGTACAATTCGTTTTATCTAAAGACTTGTGACTAGGGCCTTAGGAGGTTTCAAACTTTTCCGGTACATGTTTGTTGGCACAGTGATATGCATTTACCCTTAGGACTTGCAAAATGTTATGGATAATTTTGCTATTTAATATTTAAACGGATTTCTATGTTTCTTTGAACAGTCAAATTAGATTTGAAAAGCCAACTGTGCTTCTGCATCTTTAACACCCAGTATTCCTACCTTGACCAACTGTACCTTGATTGGGGGAAGTCTTTTATCTTTAAAGTATAATAGCACATTTCTTTCTTGTTCTTGGTACATAAATGAATCTTTTAGATTTTTATGCTCCGTTGTCTCTACATATGTTGAGCTTGTTATATTGGATGTGTTTGAAAAGCAGAATCTTTTTGTGATACATGTTTTGACGTGATAATGCTACACGAGATTTGTTTCCTTTCTTTGATTTGACTGATAAACCGCAATGCTTTATATGGTCCTTTTGTTTCTATTTTATGTTATTGACTTATTTTGATATATAGGTGATCATCCCATCACACCAGCTGAAGGTAGTTAATCCCTCATCAAGCAGAACCAATGTTGCTGAAAAATACATCCAGGTGGTCTCTGTCGACAATCACGAGTTTTGGTTCATGGGCTTCTTGAACTATGAAGGGGCTGTTGATTCCCTGCAAGAAGTTCTGCAAGCCAACGAGCAACCATCTTAAGAATGGAAGCTGTCTGCATTGTCTAGATTTTCACCCTATTAAATACATTGTGTATCTTGTAACAAAGTTTAAAAGATTTGAAAATTCTGGTCCTGGGGCAGTTGGTTTAAGTATCCCGTTCCCTGCAAATTTTTGACAGTTTTGTGGATAATTGGATGTAGGTGTAGGCTTCATACCTAATGCCATTTGAGGGGATCTCCAAGGTATTATAGTTTATAGAAATGTTTTCTGGTTATTACCCTCTCACCAATCTTTGCCATAACTCGTTATGTCAAAACCAGTTAGCAACAATCTTTTTGGTCTTTAGCTGCTGAATGTTTCACTGTTACACCAACCCCACAGAACCTGAATGTTTCTACACTGAACAGTTAAACTTAGGTTGCCAGTTCTGTGACAGAGTATGTAAGACGCATGGGAGTGTGGCATTGAACGACTGACTTTCTTGTTCTGCGGCTAACATGTTGACTGCCAGACCTAAATGTTAATTTTTTAGTATATTAAAACCGGCCTATGGATCTTTGAACTAATGATTCTGTGGAATTTTGGAGAATGTGATTTCTCTGTTCACAAGGCCCTGCTTTCACACGCCGAATTAGTTTGGTTTATACTCCTATTCATTAAGTTTAAATCTGGGGAGTGTGATTAATTTTATAAGTTTTGATTTGGGTTTATCTTAACATTTAATATATTTTTTAATTTTATTATTAATTATTTATTCTCTTTTTTTATCTTCTTTCTGATTAGATTTTTTCACACATTTTCTTTCATTCTTTTTATGTATTTATTATAATAACATATTTAAAAATAAAAGTATATTTCTAACTTACTTATAGTTTTTAACTAATCATTCATTATCTATGAATTAATTATTTAAACTTTATAATAAGAACATGAGAGAATACTTTATAAGATTGGAAGCGTTAACCTTGAGTTTTGCTTTTATATACACACACATAACTGCTTGACTAGGTCAAATTGGAATGAACCAATGCTGATCATGTTGTGAGTAATTTTTTTTTTTTAAAAGACTTAACCCTGGTTGGTAGCGTGTTTTGTTTTTTATTGTAAATATTGTGACACGGTAAGCTAATAACCCACCGAACGATGTCTAATGCTTCATGAACAAATGTCACAAATTTTATCCAAAAGAACAAGTGCCGCCAATAGCCAAATAGCCTCCGCAAGAAATTCCAACATCATAGTGAATGGAATCCATTTTTGTTTTGCTCTATGTCAATTATAACTCGATTTATAGTATCTAACAGCATTCTTCCAGAAAAAACCAAGAAGCAACATTAATTTAATCGGGTTATAAATTAACCCCCCGACGGGAACTTATACCATCTCATGTGTTGATTTTATTGATTTCATATTTTGCCCCGTTCTTGCTTTCCTAGTCAAAGCGCTGTTGGAGTACAGTGTAAGGTAGTAATTCGTCAATGTTTCTGAATCAAACAATGAACCATAAATATTCAAACCATAGGATAGCCAAAAGAGATTAAGCTATTCCCCTTGTCTTTTTCTTTTGTTTTTTTTGTTTTTAAACAAGGCTCAATTGATTACTTTTCTAAAATTAATATACTTAGTTAAACTTAAAATCAGTTGAAATTTGTAAAAATTTTCAAAATTGCCTTTAAATAGATTAAAGCCGTCGTGTAAGCCTAACATGAAATAGAAGAATGCATTTTTAAAAATGAATTATAAAAACTTCATTAAATTTGATAAAAATCTTGCATTAGGGGCCAATAAAGAAAATTTTATTAAAAAATTAGCAAAGGGAGTAAATTACAAAATACACCCTCCATTTCAAAATCTTTTGTTGTTTTAAGTTTTTATTCTTGTTTTAAAACTATTGTTGTTTTAGAATTTCAATGCTTAGTTTATAATCAGTTTTTTCTACTATGACCACATTCAACAACCTGAAAATTATATATTATTTTTTCTTTTTGAATATATAAATGTATTAAGATAGAGAATTTAAATTCTAGAAGTAAATCACCTACTTCTTGGGAAGTCTTTTTTTTTTCCTTCCCAAAACTTAGGTGAGATTCAAACTTACAACCTTATAAATCATATATAAGTGGATTCTTTGCCAACCAAACCAGTTCTTGTTAAAAAGTCTCAATTCCCCTCCATGTTTTTCACAGCAAGTGGCCCATTAGTCTCCGCTAAGCACTCAACTTGTCCCACCCTGACTGATAATTTCACTGCTCTAAATTCTGTCCTATGCCTCAAAGTGCGTAAAAACACATATAGGCCGGTGTCAAATTGTATGGAAGTCGCACTACAACCTAATTAATAGCAAAATCAATTTAGGTTTTGGCTTTATATATGCTTCTGATTAACCCAGGTGGACCATCGTCTACAAAAACCAGATCATACTAATGACTAGTTAAAGGCCTCTCTCAAATCCACTGAAATCATAATCTGACACTGTAAGAACTAGTGTGGGACATCCCATTTGGCCCTTTCGGCATCTTAATAGTGTGTTTTTCTTAACATTAATCATCCCGTAGATTGCCATGATTACTGAACCTGCAATGTCTTAATCAAGGAATCTGCTTAACTGTTTATAAAGCAGGCTTAAATCGTTTAGATGACCCACTTACATATCTTTCACTTGCACGCGTGAGTGTCATTTCTTATGGTTACACTTTTGCAAAACCCTTTCTTTAAGTAGGATTAAAGCTGCAACTAAAAAGTAAAACCAAAGCAACCTAATTATATTACAGGCAGCCATTTTAGCTTGTACATGCTTTAACAGCACTGAAAAAAGAAAAAAGAAAAAATAAAAAAGTGGACCTTCAACTCAAAGTTGATGTTTTGAAATCAGTAGATAAATGGTCGATTCATGAGGGGCAAGAAATCCCATTAGAACATTTCTGGTAATCTATTTGTTAAATAGGTGATATATTGTAATTATCTTGTAAGTTACTATGTTGCTTTAGAATTGGGGTTGGTGTAATAATTAGTGAGCTCATTATATTAATCTCAATATTTGTCGGCGCGACAAAAAGTTAAAATTGTTTATTATCTAAAGTTGAATTTCATTCAGACCTTTTTTATTTTATTTTAATCCCTCGCCCTCTTTATTCCTTTCTATAATCATTGCTTCTTCTGTACGTTTTCATTGTAGATGATGGAGTAAAGAAGACATGTGAGCATGTTTGACACTGGTAATTTTACTATGCCCTAACAGTGAGCAGAAGGAAGTAAGCAGGTTTTTAATGGCCTAAAGATTCAGAAGCAAATTAAAAGTATGCAATTCAACTGTTTCATTAAATCATGGCTCTTCATAAAAAAGTTCAGTAGATGAATGAGTACATCTAGTTTACTTGCTTGTGAATTTAACGAGTTCTTCTGCGAGGGCAAGTCGGTGCCCTATATATGTGTATATGCTTCTTTAGTTACTTTTATTAGGTCATCATAAGTCTTACGTTTTAGCCTCAGATTTTGTCTAAACTTGCAATCATTTCTGGGCCCTTTGAAATATTTTTTATTTGGATCGCTTTTTCTTTAGATTTTGCCAGCAAAGAAGGGTTTGTGGTTCTTGTGTCTATTTCTTTATTATAATTAATCTGGATGGATTTGGCGGAAGGTACTAAGAGGGGATGAACTAACTCTGTTTCTTTTTCTTTAATTCTTTTTAATTATTTTTCCCCCTGTGCTGATCAGTTGTGTATCTAGCCTACTAACCTACAATTACTGCTTACTTTTTTATTAATAATCCCCCCATCCTTTTCGAAAGCTTTGAGCAAATAGAATTTTTTTTTGGTAACAAACACTTGATACTGTCTCTGATTTTAAAGATCAGTAGAATAGTTTGTTTTGATTTTAAATATAATACTTCAATTAACTGTCTCTCAAATTTATAAATTTTTTTTCTTAAACTCTTCTTTTTGACTATATATTTTAACGAGGTTTTTCATCATCAAGGAAGTAGTTTTCCATATAAATAATCGAAAGGGGTACTTTGAAAAACCCAATATACATTTTTATAAATAATAAATCTAATTAACTAAATTTTTTTTAATCTCTACAGATTAATTGTCTAACTTTTAGATTTAGAATTAGAGAAAGTATACCATAGTATGAGTCAACTCAAAACTCATATCAAGAAAAATTCGAGACATGACTTTTTCATCACCCTGAAGCTCAAAAACTTGAAATTTCGCTTAAAAAGTGTTGAATCATTATTTGCCATTCAACTGAATCATAGCCGGGTGGGTATAACTGTTTTTCTTTAATATTATATATATTGAAGTTTTTCAATATAATTAATCAAACATATAAATACATTTACATAGTTGTCTCACGTGTATGTAAATATACTTGAAAAGATGTACTCCCACTAATTCTAAATATAAAAATTAGATAAATAATTTGTAAAATTAAAAAAATAGTTAATTAATTGTTAAAAATGTGTGTTAATTTTCTTAAAATATTCTATTTAATCATTCGCACTAATTAACTACCTTTGATAAAAACTCCCTTATAAATTTAAGAGGCAAATGAATTAAGGCCTTACTTTTAAAACCAAATAAAACAAACCCCTTATCTCCTACATTTAGTACAGAGATTACTTAAAAAGTGAGTGAGTATTGTGTGTGCGCGTGCGTGTGTAATTCGATATGCATTGCATATGGCCATAGTCTAAAAGACACTTTGTATATCAAAGGATTCAGTGATCAATGATCCAATTCGCAAGATATTTTATGTGTGTTGGTAATAATGGTAAGGAGGTAATGTGTTGTCAATGTTTAATTTGTTGATATGCTAATGACCATAGCCACTAATTAAGTCTATTACAAATGGTACCTATTGTTATTATATTATATTGTTTGCTAAAGATATACGCACACATGTACATGTCTATCACTAGCACATAACCTAAATGCATAATTGATATCCTCTTGTCCTTAATGTAAGAGCTAGTTGACTAATTTGAATAAATTTAAAAAGTTTGTTAAGTTAGTTATTTGTAATAAACATATATTATCTTTCTTAAAATACTATTGTCAATCACGTGTCTTAACCTAAACTATTATTTGATAGAATCTTTAATGTATACAACTACTATAAAGACTATTTAAGAAAAAAAGAATAAATATGAGAGATAAAGTGAATTTAAATATTATATTTAGAATCAAACTAAATATTAAATTAGCTGTTATATTAAAAAACAGACGTAGTACATTGAGAGGTTATTATATTATATTATATTATATTATAATGATAAATTGCTGTTACTAATGACACGCGCATTGAATTTCTTAGCATGCACGGCAGAAGCCGCCGTGTTACAA